ATTGACGATTCTGTTAGTATAGAATAGCAATAAACGCAAGGCCAAAAATGTAAGAAACTTGACTTGTACCCAAATGACAACAAATAATTCAAATAGTCATACTTTTCATTTACCTTACAGTGAGCATGCCCTTATTTTCTCGGTATATGCAGATGGATTGTCAAGTCATGTGACTTGGTGCACATGCTTTGGTTTTCTCGATTTTTTGCTCGATTTTTTTATTACAGTGACAACTCATTTCTTATTAATATATGTGGGATTCTCAATTCAGAAAGTCACATGGCAACAGTGAATTCACTGATTTACCTTACAGTGAGCATGCCATTATTTTGTCCGTATATGTAGATGGATTGTCAAGTCATGTGACTTGGTGCACATGCTTTGGTTTTCTCAGTTTTTTGCTCGATTTTTTTATTACAGTGACAACTCATTTCTTATTAATATATGTGGGATTCTCAATTCAGAAAGTCACATGGCAACAGTGAATTCACTGATTTACCTTACAGTGAGAATGCCCTTCTTTTCTCGGTATATGCAGATGGATTGTCAAGTCATGTGACTTGGTGCACATGCTTTGGTTTTCTCGATTTTATGCTCGATTTTTTTATTATAGTAACAACTCATTTCTTATTAATATATGTGGGATTCTCAATTCAGAAAGTCACATGGCAATAGTGAATTCACTGATTTACCTTACAGTGAGCATGCCCTTATTTTCTCGGTATATGCAGATGGATTGTCAAGTCATGTGACTTGGTGCATAGGCTTTGGTTTTCTCGATTTTTTGCTCTATTTTTTTATTACAGTGACAACTCAACACCAATTTGATATATGTGGGATTCTCAATTCATAAAGTCACATGGCAACAGTGAATTCACTGATTTACCTTACAGTGAGCATGCCCTTATTTTCTCGGTATATGAGGATGGATTGTCAAGTCATGTGACTTGGTGCACAGGCTTTGGTTTTCTCGATTTTTTGCTCGATTTTTTTATTATAGTGACAACTCATCTCTTATTGATATTTGTGGGATTCTCAATTCATAAAGTCACATGACAGCAGTGAATTCACTGATTTACCTTACAGTGAGCATGCCCCTATTTTGTTGGTATATGCAGATGGATTGTCAAGTCATGTGACTTGGTGCACAAGCTTTGGTTTTATAGATTTTTTGCTCGATTTTTTTATTACAGTGATTCTCAATTCAGAAAGTCACATGCCAACAATGAATTAACTTATTTACCTTACAGTGAGTATGCCCTTACTTTGTCGGTATATGTAGATGGATTGTCAAGTCACGTGACTTGGTACACAGTATTTGCTTTTCTCTATTTTTTCATTCTAGTGCAACTCATACCTTGTTCATATATGTGGGATTGTCATACAGGGGCATCTTTCTAAAGTTGTTCATAACCAACTATTTCAACGACTAAAGGTGAAGACACAACCTTACAACTCATTTCGCCCTACGAAATTATCATTCATTTGTTTTAAAAAATTAGCATGGCTACATGGTTCATGGAAGGGAGTGGGAATCGCAGAGGTGGTAGGAACTTGCAAAGGGGTGACAATTCACGACGAGGAGGGGGAAGGGGAAGTGGCGATGCTAAAGATAAAACACCATTTACTTTGTTAGATGCCTCTTGTGCTTATCATGATAGGTTTGGGAAGCGACATTTTGTCATGCCCAAGTACTATCGAGATCCATGTGGTTTGGTGGAGGATCCATCAGATAATCAAACAGGATATGGTTTAGCAAACGCTAGACTTCTGAAGTGGCCCGCACTATTTATAGAGCGAGTGCAAATGGAAAGATTATGTTGGGAAAATCGACTGAAGGTGCCAAAAGCACGTTCTGTTGAGATCCAAAAGGAAGATCCTGATAATGTTGATCGACTATGTGAAAGACTACAACGTGAGATTTCTCAAATGCGCCGTAGGTTAGCCCGTGATATGCAGCTATACATAGTTAAGAATGATGCCCAGAAGAACAGAACAGAACCAAATGTTGCGGCTATCAAGGGTATCATGGAGAATCCTGAGCTTGTCTCTGATGCTGAGCTTTCGGATTATTCAGACTCTGAGCCACCTACCGATTTAAGCGCGAATTAGGTGTTAATGTCTACACTTCGGCAATATTAGGTCATGCATTAATATGTAATGTCTGTGTTAGACTAAGTGTTTCCGTAATGAGTTTGTCAGATTGTCTGGCTAATATTTCTCTGTCTAACTGTTATGTTTATGTATATATTGTGTGTTTAGTTCATGGTGTCCAGAATGTATTGTTGTCAGAGACTTATGTCTGTACTACCTATGTATTTTTGTGGGAGACTTATGTGTTTTTTTCTCAAGGTTTTCTGAATTACATTATCACATTCTAACCCAAAACAAAGACAACAGAAAAAAAAATTTTTATTTAAATGAAAACGGCTTTAGTAAAGCCAAAACAAATTTCTAAATAACACCTTCTAACCCAAAACAAAGACAAGAGAAAAAAATAAAAAATAAAAAACTTTACATGAAAACGGCTTTAGTAAAGCGAAAAGAAATTTCTGAATTACATTATCACCTTCTAACCCAAAACAAAGACAAAAGAAAAAACATATATATTTAAATAAAAATGGCTTTATTAAAGTCCAAACAAATTACTGAATAACACCTTCTAACCCAAAACAAAGAGAAAATAAAATAACAAAAAATTTACATCAAAACGGCTTTACTAAAGCTCAAAAAATTTATGAATTACATTATCATCTTCTAACCCAAAACAAACACAAGAAAAAACAAAATAAATTTACTTTAGTAAAACCAAAAAAAAAAATTCTGAATTACACCTTCTAACCTAAAATAAAGACAAAAGAAAAGAAAAAAAATTAACATGAGAACGGTTTTAGTAAAACAATTTTAACCCAAAAAATTATTCTGAAATACATTATCACCAAAACAATGACAACAGAAACAAAAAAAAAAAAACCAAAAAAAAAAATTTCTTCTTCAAAGTTCAGTTAAACTGAAACTAAATAATTGGTGTAGTTTATGTAAAAAGCGTGGTTCACAAACACGCTTCCTTTGGAAATTTTTTTTTGCCAAAAAGCGTGGTTCATAACCACGTTTTCAGAAGAAAAAAAAAATTAAGCTAAAAGCGTGGTTCATAACCACGATTTCAGAAGAAAATTTTTTTTGGTTAAAAGCGTGGTTCACAACCGCGCTTTCAGAAGAAAAAAAATTTAAGTTAAAAGCGTGGTTCAGAAAATCGATTTCAGAAGAAAAAAATTTAATTAAAAACGCCTTTTGTAATCGCCTCGCGCTTTATTAATTAAAAGCGCGTTTTGTAACGACGCTTTTAAGACTTCCCAATTTTCACGCGGGACACGTACATAGACGTTGAAAGCGTGATTGTGAACCACTTTTTAGCCTATTTTGGGAATTCTTTCAAAACTAGGCTTAGTTTGGGAATTGAATTGATAATTTGGCTTATTTAGGGAAATGGCCCCCAAAAATTCACCTCCCAAAACTACAATTCTTCCCATTCAGAACTCAATGTTACTCTCTTTAGGTGGTCGTTACAACCAATTTCCCGCCCATCACTGCGGCTACCATCACCGCCTACCAGTTGCGGAGTGAGAAAATTAAATTAGAAGGGACACTTATTAATTATAATATCGAAAAAAAATTCGAAAAATATTTCACGTAAGTTTTTACGATTGATTTCGAGAAACATAAAAAAAATAATGTTATTTGTAACTAGTGTATCATGAACAATACAAAAAAAAATATATAGATATAAGTCTTAAAATAAATTATATAATGATAAATTAAATTTTTTATATAAAATTTGATTAAAAAATCAATATAATGGTAATACCACGTCATCATTGGTATATGATATCACCCACTAATAGTAAATAAACACATAGAGTGTGAACCTAATATGTCGAATGTAACTAATAATCCAATAAATTTTATATATTTATAGTAAGATTACTTATACTTGCTTGTCACTAATAATGAGATCACCGTTATATTTAAAAATTTTCATAAAATTTTCATAGGTAATATGATTTATAACAGCCTTTTCATTTTCAATTAAAATAACTATTATTGTTATCATAATTTTTAACATGTTACTGATATTTCACTCTAATAATATTTTTGTAATTTTTTTTATTTAAAATATTTTCATGTTTTTTTAAAATAAAAAAAAAACCCAAAATCCAAGGGCATGTGACCCCTGGTCCCTTACTCCTTCCGCCACTGTTGCCTACCATCACCCTTTGAAAACTCTACATCTAAGACTAGGGTTTAGGAAGTGGAGGAAGAGAGAAGGGACCTCGGTCGATCGTGACAGAAGAGGAGGGGTGAGATGGAGAGGGGCGGCAGCTGGAGATGGCGCCAACGGCGAGTGAGGCGTAGTATGCATGTTTGTTTGTCTGTCTGGGTTTGTGTGTTTGTTTTTTTTTTTTGGGAGTCTTAAGCAAAATGATGTCGTTTAGCTAAAATGCAAGAAAACTCTAGAGAGATCAACTCTAGCGGATCTGGACGCCTACTCAAGAGTCACAGCTCTGTGGATAAGAGTTCACTTCCGTTTTTCGAAAAACAATTTTCGTGACTCAAATTAGCAACAAGCCTTTAAATTGGACCAAGCAAACATTTCTAGCTAACCTTCCTATAATTTTGTAAAATTTAACCTCAATCCTTTTTAACAGGACCTGAAAATCATTCTTGGTTTACAACCCAACAAACATTACAAGATAAATAATCTACAACGTTATATCTACCGAATTTTAATTCGTCTGAATTGTCTAAATTTATGTATGTCAGTCATCCAAGCGGATGCTGGTTGACACACTAGATGACAAGGTAGACAGCCACGGTTGACAAGGATGATGCCAATAATTCGATCGATTGTCTAACTTACGTAATTCGGGCAATTCAGGCGAGTCCAAATTCAGTGGATTAATTATTTTTCATAAATAATTACAGGAATTTTAGCGCATCCCTGTTTTGCAATGTTAAACATGCAATTTTATTTATTTATCATAAAGGTCCTTAATTCCCATCAAATCCAAGGCTAAAAGTTAATACAGAACATAGAAAGTTTCAGATAGAAAACAAGATTACACAGTACTAGTAAAAACTGAAGCATATAGCCCCAATATTCATTCAAATGGGTCAGAACCTTCAAAGCTTTACATCCTTCAACTGGAACCTTCACCTGAGTTTGACTGACAACATCAGTTTATGCCTTAAAAATAAACTTACAACAAGGAACCTACCATGCTTTGCTTGCACATGGAACATCAGTCATTACTAGACCAAAAAAAAAAAAAAAGAGAATTTATAAACTTCGAATACTTCTAGGACTCTAAGCATGGATATGATACAAGATTTAAATGATATGAGGCGCATGATGCAGACACATTAATACGTCAAATTCTTCAAGAGAGAAAAAACATGTACAATCGATGCGCATAATATACAATCAATCATGTAACTGATTACTCATTATTCACAAAGAACCACATTGATAATAGTTGCATTGAATTTTCAACTAATATTAATATTCATAGAGGGGAAAAGGAGGTTATATTGTATGGACATTTAACACAAAGACAGGATTCATATTTTCCTTGTTCTTTATGATATGTTCAAAATTTTGAAAACATTGTTGAGCTTTCACTTCTTCTTTTTTTAAATAAATAAATAAATTAATTAAAACTCCTTATTGTGCTTTTACTTACAAGTATTTACATGATAGAAAAGCCACATCAAATTCATGGCATGTCAAATGCACAGTCAGGAACTAAGAAGCACAGACATGCGGCATGCGACATGTGGCACAGGTTAAATCGATCTCTATTCTCTATTTAAAACTTCTTTCTTTCATCAAGGCGTCTATCTCATTCTCTCTCTTGTCAACCCTAACCCTAAAGGTTAAATCTATCTACCATAGTCCAAAAGCCCCACAATCCAAAGCCCCTCTCACGATCTGAACACCCAAAAGACAGCCCCATTTCACACAGCATCACACAGCGTCAACAACCTTTAAGCTTCAATAATGACAGATTTCTAGCTTTAGAATGCCGATGGCAGCAACACTGATTGGTGGCGGTGTGCAAAGACTAATTGATCTTCAAGCTTCAAGAAAGACGGTGGCGGAGACATTGATTGTTGGCTGTGGTGGCCATGCTGGTTGATCCAGGTTTGGTTGTAGAGTTTTGGTTTTCTACATCTATTGATCTCCAAGTTTGGTTCGGTTTTTGTTTTAAATTTAGTTAGGTTTTTGAGGTTTGGTTAGTGTTTTGCTATATTAGAAATCCTGCTTCTATACAACTCTTTTTGGTTCTTCTTCTTCATTGAATATGTTGAACCCCTTCTTCTATTAAATCAGTAATTGCCTAGTGTGCACAAAATTTTTTATGTTTGGGTTATTTATTTCCAAACCCAACCAATAAACTGAAGAAGATTAACAGAAGATTTTGATCTAACATGCGGTTGAAATCAGTTAGGCATATTCCCACTCGAACAGGTTCAGTCAAGTGACCGATTTTCACAAACCTGACCTGAATTGACCCGTGGACACCCCTAATTGATTAATTAATACCATACTAACTGATGAAACATTAATCATCAAACTTAAACTACATAAAGGCATTGGGTTCCATAGTAATAGTTACCTAGCCTAGGGTGTGAAGGAGCATCACCGATGGGCTTGAATTCCTGCAACTCCTTGAATTTCATCCATGACTTCTCCCAGACCTTCGCTTCATAAGCTTTCTTTTGACCACCATTGGTTGCTTCCAGTGTTATATAATACATCATTCCAGCAACAACCTGCTGCTTCGCATTCACGACTTTGCTGAACTCAAGACAAGCATTCTGCCCACAGCAGTAAAAACAAAAAACAAGAACAAAACTGCATCAATGAATTGTACACATAAGATTTTGATTATATATAATGAAGAACTTGAGAGTTCAGAATTTATTCATTAATTATTATTAATCAGTTACATGATGAGCTTTATATATATACTAGCTACCATATGTATACATCTATATCTATATAACAAACTATGTAACTGCCTAACTAATATAACAGCCTAACCATCTATTATCTCTGTAACTAATCCATATATACAATCACATGTGATGCACAGCACAGTAGTATAATACAACTACTCCTTATCATGCCCCCGCAAGCTAATGGGAGCGGAAGAAACCATGAGCTTGGCAGTGAGAAAGGAAAACCGAGCTGTAGAGAGAGGTTTGGTAAACACATCAGCAACTTGATTCGGTAAAGAAGGAACATATTTGAGGAGAAGTTTGTTGGCAGCAACCCGTTCGCGGACAAAGTGGCAGTCGACCTCAATATGCTTTGAGCGACTATGGAAGACAGGATTGGTAGCCAAGGACATGGAGGAGAGATTATCACACCATAACGTAGGAGGAGATGATGGAGAAATGGAGAACTCAGTGAGGAGCATTTGTAACCAGGAGAGCTCGGCAGCAGTGTGAGCAAGACTGCGGTATTCAGCTTCTGTGGAGGAACGGGAAACAGTGGCTTGCTTTTTGGAGGACCAAGAGATGAGATTGGCACCCAAATAGACACAGTAACCAGAAGTAGAGCGGCGGTCAGTGGAGTCCCCGGCCCAATTGGAGTCACTATAAGCAGTCAAATGGAGCTTACTGGGATGGAACTGAAGACCAAAATGAAGAGTTCCCTTAACATAGCGCAAGATCCGCTTGACAGCGGAAAAGTGAGCAATGGTAGGAGAATGCATGTGTTGACAGGCCTGATTGACAGCGTAAGAGAGCTCAGGTCGGGTGATGGTGAGATATTGTAAAGCACCCACAAGACTCCTATAAAGAGAGGAGTTAGGACAAGGAAGAGAGGCATCAGAGGAAATAGGAGGTTTCATAGAGACGGGAGTGGCACAAGGTTTACAGTCAACCATGCCGGCCTTAGCTAATAAGTCGGCTGCATATTTGGGTTGAGAGAGGAAAAAATCAGAAGGGGAGGACTGGACTGAAATCCCCAGAAAATAAGAGAGAGAGCCCAAGTCCTTCATGGAAAAAGTTTGATGCATGGCAGTCAAGAGAGATTGAATGCAAGACTCATTGGAACCAGTGAGGAGGATGTCATCAACATATATTAAAAGGTAGGTAAGAGAAGAAGGGGTTTTATGAACAAACAAGGAGGAATCACATTTGCTTTGGATAAACCCTTGAGAGAAGAAAAAAGTTAAGAATGTGGAGAACCAAGCCCTAGGGGCTTGTTTCAAAACGTAGAGAGCTTTGTGAAGATGACACACCAAGGAAGGTTTGGTAGGATCAATAAAGCCAGGAGGTTGTTCCATGTAAACCTCCTCTTGAAGGTGACCATGAAGAAAGGCATTACTAATATCCAACTGTTTGATGGGCCAACTGTGATGAAGAGCTAAACAAAGAAGAATGCGAATGGTAGGTTGTTTGGCAACGGGACTAAAAGTGTCCAGAAAATCGATACCAAATTGTTGAAGAAAACCCTTGGCCACTAGCCGAGCTTTGTGGCGAGCAATAGTCCCGTCGGAATTGCGTTTGAGGCGGAAGACCCATTTACACCCAACGGCTTGCTTGGAAGAAGGAAGAGGAACAAGAGACCATGTGCCCTGTTTTTGAAGAGCATCATATTCAGCCAGCATGGCCTTGAACCAGGGTGGAGAGGTAAGAGCAGCAGTGTAGGAAGAAGGTTCAGACTGATCAAGAGAAGAAAGGGAAGAGAGATGGGCCAGAGGTTTGGACTTGGACCTGGTTGTCATGGAATGAGTATTAGTAGTGGAAGGTGGAGGAGGAAGAGGGAGCACCACAGCAAGAGAATCAATAGGAATAGACGATGGGGAAGGAGTAGGGTGCGACTGTGGCTGCAACTGTGGTGCTGTCGGCAGTAGAGGCGGCGGCGGCAAATGGGGGGAAGGAGCAGGTTGCGGCTGGGGCTGCAACTGGGGTGCACTCGGCAGCAGAGGCTGCGGCAGGGAAGACGGGGAAGGAGGATGACTGTGGGGCGTGCAAAACTGATTCTGGGGTTTAGGTAGGGAAGACCAAAAGAAGGATTGTAAAGTAGGGAGAGGAGAGGGTGGGACAGAAGAAAGAGAGGAAAAGGGAAAAGTGGACTCATGAAAGGTGACATGGCGAGAGAGCAAGACTTTACCAGTCAGAGGATTGAGGCAGCGGTAGCCTTTGACAGAAGGGTGATAACCCAGAAAAACACAAGACGCAGATTTAGGGGCCAATTTATGAGAGGCATAAGGCTTAAGCCAAGGGAAGCACAAGCAACCAAACACTTTAAGATGAGAGTAATCAGGTTTAGTGTGGAACAGGAGTTCAAAAGGAGAACAGTTAGAGAGAGAGGCACTAGGAAGCCGATTAATGAGATAGGTGGCTGTAGCAATAGCTTCAAACCAATAGGAGAGAGGTAAAGAAGATTGATGTAAGAGGGCGATGGCGGTTTCGGTAATGTGTAAATGTTTCCTCTCCGCGACTCCATTTTGAGAGGGAGTGTGTGGGCAAGAAAATTGATGAAGAATACCATGAGAATTCAAAAAATCTTGCAGTTGAGTATTGATAAATTCACCACCCCCATCGGAGCGAAGTATTTTAAGAGGAAAGCCAAATTGTTTTTCCACAAATGCTTTAAACATCATGAATTTAGAAAAGACTTCGCTTTTATAGACAAGAGGATAAATCCATGTAAAACGACTATGATCATCAACAAACAACACATAATAGCGATAAGCACTAGAGGAACAAGTAAACGGTCCCCAAACATCAGTGTGAATTAAAGCCAAGGGAACATCAGTTTTGGAATTAGAAAGCACAAAGGGAAGTCTATGACATTTAGAAATGGAACACTCAACACAAGACAAATCAGTTTTATTGAAAGAATGAGACAATGACAATTGAGATTTGAGTAATTGAAATTTTGCAAATGAAGGATGGCCAAGCCGTTTGTGCCATATAGCCGCAGTGGAAGGAGATGTTAATGAGGCAGCAAAAGCATGTGGAGAAGGGCAAGAACCCACAGGAAAATGGTAGAGGCCATTAGCATGAAAACCTTTGTGAAGAATTGCTTTAGAATGATTGTCCTGGATGGAAAAAGTAGATTTATCAAAAATTATGGAGCAATCATTGTCTTTGGCTAACTGTTGAACATAGAGCAAATTGGACTTTATGGAAGGAACATGAAGAACGTTGGCAAGCTTAAAGGAGTGGTGTGGGGTGGGTAGAATACCTTTGCCAGTGTGATGGATAGGAAGGGAAGTTTCGTTGCCAATGGTAACTTGATCGGAACCAGTATAGGACTGATAAGAATTCAGATGATGAAGGTCATTTGTGACATGGTCAGAAGCAGCAGAGTCCAAGAACCAAGGACTAGAAGCATGGGAGACAGTATCATCAGGGATGTTGGTGTTGTAATTTGCCTTCAACATGAAGAGCTTCTGAGCAGAGCAAAGAAGAGAGATCTTCCATAGATATGCTTTCAGGTCTCACTCGGATGGCTGTCTTGAGAGAATCATACACAGTCGGTACGCCGTTCAAGGCGATAAGAACGATATCCTCATTATCAATAAAGGAAGATGCAATACTAAGTTGATCAACAATAGATTTGATGTTGTTCAGATAGATTTCCATCGAATCGGAGCCTTTCGAAACAGAATTCAATCTGTTCTTCAGTTGATGAATGTGTGAGCGAGAAAGATTCGTGAAACGTTTGTCAAGTGCAGTCCACACCGCAGAACTGGACCATAGGTGAAGAATTATTGTAAAAATTACAGGTGAAAGCGTAGCTGTGATGCAACTCAAGAGATGTGCATCAATCATCTGCCATTGAATCGCATCTAGATTGCTAACCTCTGTTGCTGAAGAATTGCGAATATGAGCAACAGGACATGGAAACGAACCATCGACAAACTTCAACAAGTCTGTTGCACGAAGAATGTTTTGCATCTAGTTTTTCCAGATGATAAAATTTGTGCTATCAAGCTTTATGGTAACAAGAGAACTTAGATTTGAAATCAGCATGTTGAGATTTGACGGAATTGAAGAAGAAGAAGATAAAGATTCTGTAGAGGAACCCATTGATCGCTCGATGGAGCTTAACAGGGCTCTGATACCATGAAGAACTTCAAAGTTTATTCATTCATCTTAATCAATCAGTTACATTGAAGAGCGTTATATATACTAGCTACCATATGTATATAACTATATATATCTATGTAACAAACTATATAACTGCCTAACCACCTATTCTCTCTCTAACTAATCCAGGTATACAATCACATGTGATGCACAGCAGCATAATACAAACTACTCCCTATCATAGCTAACCTTCAAAGTTAGGCAAAATCTATTTAATCATTAAGATCATTTCCCTCCATCTTTGTTGCTGATGTGACATTTTATAAAATTAATCAGTGTGTTTGGTTTTAGTTTTTTGAATTAAATTTTTTGAAAACTAAGTTTTTTGATTTTTGCATTTTTTTGTTTTTAGTGAATATTTTTAAAATTTAAACATTTTCTTTACTTTTTTAGATGCACCTTACTTAGATGTATCTAAAAAGTAACAGTCCACACCGCAGAACTGGACCGGAGGTGAAGAACTGTTGTAAAAATTGCAGGTGAAAGCGTAGCGGTGATGCAACTCAAGAGATGTGCATCAATCATCCGCCATCGAATCGCATCTGGATTGCTGACCTCTGTTGCTGAAGAACTACGAATATGATCAATAGGACATGGAAACGAACGATCGACAAACTTCAACAAATCTGTTGCATGAAGAATATTTTGCATCTGGTTTTTCCAGATGATAAAATTCGTGCTATCAAGCTTTACGGTAATAAGAGAGCTTAGATTCGAAATCAGCATGTTGAGATTTGATGGAATGGAAGAAGAAGAAGATAAAGATTCTGTAGAGGAACCCATGGATTGCTCGGTGGAGCTTAACAGGGCTCTGATACCATGAAGAACTTGAGAGTTCAGAATTTATTCATTAATTGTTATTAATCAGTTACATGATGAGCTTTATATATATACTAGCTACCATATGTATACATCTATATCTATATAACAAACTATGTAACTGCCTAACTAATATAACAGCCTAACCATCTATTATCTCTGTAACTAATCCAGATATACAATCACATGTGATGCACAGCACAGTAGTATAATACAACTACTCCTTATCATATAAGTGTATATATAGACACATATACGCATAAATACGGACATCACTACAACATACACTGAATATAGGAAATATTACATAATTTGAAAAATAAAAATAGTTAAAAAAGGTCAAAAAATTATCTTACCCCTGTTAGTTTGAATGGAAAAATATTCATCATAGTAGGATAATCATAGATAGCAGAAAAGTGTTATTTTCCAGCCAAAACAAACTGAGGGATCATGAACAATAGAATTAACTAATAGAGTAAAATGATGACCCAAAAAAATTATTTTTTGTTTTCTTTGATTCAATAGAATAATTTACACCTGAAAACAACTTATTCCTCTTGCTTTCTGATGCTTGGTTGCAGTCTTAAAATTATTTTCCTTGTGAGCGTGGATAGTAGAAGAACCGTCTAATTAGGAATGAAACACACTGCAATTAACCATAGTTATCATAGGCAGCCGCCTAGGCATAGCCTGCCAAACCAGGGCAGTCTCTTTGGGTTGGGCTCGGGCTTCAACTATCTTTAAGTAACCAACGGAATTTCTATTTAAAGGCCAACTCTAAATAGAGTTTTTCATAGTTGCTTATAAATTTTGACCTGCTTCACGCACAAATTTTTTAGTACATTATATTTTCATGAGGATATGTATCAATTTTTAACTCATTAATTCTAGATATATGCTTTACTCTTTGAGCTCTATAAAAAGAGTATTCCTCCCTATGTTACCAGAAAATGTTAATACCCTAACAAATTACGTATTGGTATGCATGTTCCGAAACATGGTACACTTTTGTTCCAAAACAGTAAATTTAGAAATCCAAAGCGATCCTAAAAGTTTTTTTTTTTCAATATGTCCTTAAATGTTACCTTAGGAAGAAAAAATTCAAATATAATGAACTAAAATTTAAGGTAAGTTAAGTTTTGACAAGACAAAAAATCAAAAAATAGATCATACTGCTCATAGAAAATATTACATTTTATTAGATATCTAATAGTTAAAAAAAAATTACTTTAGAAATATCTTAAATTCTTAAGTATAATATATACAGGTCTACCCCTATCGTACCACATTTTAGAGCATAGTACCACGTTCCCGTTTCCGTTTCACATACCGGAATGATCCAAGTTCCAGGTAACATCGATTCCTCCTCCAGGGAGTATTCTTGGCAGCCCCAAATGTGGTTAGACCAGGTGATGGGAGGCGCAGGGAATAGGCCTTGTTAGGTGGGAGCTTAAATTCGAAGCACACACAGATGGGATTTCCTGCACTGGGTTGGATGTTGGGCCGCATTGGGTGGCTACACTTAGTTAATACAAAAACCTCTATTGTCACCACTACATTGAATAAAACCATAAGACATGAGAACGCTACACATCCAACTATGTTTTCTAGGATGAAAGTTGATCATTGGTTACAGGTGAGTGGGGATTTGTGTTTATATGTAAGTTTGTCTATGATATAGTCTCCGAAAGAAAACCTATAACACTGTATAGGCAATCTAATCTAACCTAGCTCAAGAAAAAAATTAAGATTAAAATCCAACTCACTGAGAGAGAGAGAGAGAGAGACTAAAACGAGGGTTATGAAGAGAAACAAGATGAAGATGAAAAGAGGTTCTGACATTACGCCCCCCATGATTGGAGGTCAGAGATGCAGATGACATGATAAAGGTTTATCAATCTAGCTAGGAATATTTCTTTCCCATTTCTTCCTCTTTTTGCAGCTAATCTTGGGTTGGATTTTACAAGAAAAGTCATAGAGGAAGATAGTAGGGTAAAATCTTATAGGTTTATTTTTGAAATAAATAAAATTTAAATTTATGCTATGTTTGGTTGAGGGATTTGAGAAGAGATTTGTAAACGGAAAGGAAAAATATAGGTAAAATGTAAATAAAATATACTTACATTTCACCTAATTTTACCTATATTTTTTCTTTCTCTTTCCAAATTCTTTCCCAAATCTCTTAACCAAACAAAGCGTGAAGGTGTACCCATTTAGGAGGATCTTGGATGGGATGAGAGTAGAAAAGAAACAATTTTCGCTCTACCGAAACAACCACTCTTTTCTAATTTCTACACATAATAATATACATGTACATACATGCAGATCTACAAAGAGAGAGAGAGAGAGATCACTTTCAACACTCAAGGCTGTTAGAGAGTCACTCTGCTACTTAACCCTTTGAGCCTGCACTTTGCACTATCCTGTCTACTTGCTAGTGTAAAAATGAATAATTGATTTGAAAAATCCATGAGGAAGTTCAAAATAGAATGTCCAGAAAGCCATGTACACTGATGTAGTATTCATAAAAATAAAAAATAAAAAATCTCCCACGTGCACGTATCCATCTATAACTAATGATCTCACTCTTGGGCTATGCTTGTTTGGACGAAATGGATTAAATTGGATTATCATTCTCATAACTAATAATTTTAGATCTACAAATCCCTTTAGATTGTGTTTCCTATCCTATCCTATCCTATATTTGGATTAAATTAAGATTATAAGACTTTGGCTTAGTCTTTCAATTTATACCCTATCCCTTTTTGTGGGATTAAATAGTTTATGGGATATCATATCCGGATGGATTGTTAGTCCGTATTTTAATTGTTTAACCAAACATCAAATTAATAATTTTATTGAACTATTAATTCAATCCTAAGCTCATGTTAACTCAAACAAATATCGCCTTGGGGTTTTGTTTTGTGCGGTGCTATTGACGGGTCATTATACATCTAATGGCTATTGATGTGGATGTAACATTTCCTCTATTGTACTGAGTACACATGCTAACAAAAGCCATAGAATAATGATCTCTCATTGTTAAGATTACATTGCTTTGCCGGCCTTGGCTTGCATATGATTGGGCTCAATTTAGGTGCCAACCTAGTTGAGATGTATTTTTGAGCTATGATGCAATTCAGTCAAGTCCCTCTTTTCTATCTTTTTATCAATAAAATTTTCTTTGCTGATCCAAAAAAAAAAAAAAAAAAGAACATTCAGCCGAACCAAACAGAACTAGTACTATTTCATTTTACCGGAAAAATTTGAAGATAAAGTTTGAAGGGAGGGAGAGAGAGAGAGAGAAAACCTCTTTCTTGTTGTGTTCGTCAACGGCAAATCGAGCGAGGCTTGCCATCTCTAAGCTGTTCTCAGCGTCTTTCACTTCCGTAATTCCTCCGCTTATGGCCCTCTTTGAGCTGTTCGCAGCGCCTTCCACATCCGTAATTCCTCCGAGTTCGGCCATCTCTCAATGTCTCTCTCTCTTTCTCTGTTTTACGAATTATTGCGAGGTATAAAGATGCAGATAGAGTTTGCTCTTTATATACTACACAAAAGAACGAACAATATTAAATCAAAAAAGAATAAAAATTTAGTAAAATAAAATAATAATAATAATAATAATAATAATAATAAAAAGAATCGGAAATCGCAATCAAACGGGTAGAGGCAATTGACATTGGTTAGTCGTTTATTGACGTCGCCGGGGTCGAATCTACGTGTTCTTCTTCGCCTCATTCGCCCCACAGTGTTGGAAGATCGTTAAATGCGCAAATGTTGCTATCCGAGACAACATTATCCACATTTGTCCCCGTTTGCCAACTGGATTTTTTTTTTTCTTTGCTTTTGAACAGACACATTTGTCCCCGTTTGGCGAGTGGAGTTTGGTTTAAGTTAGGTTTGTAACGATCCTTTACACGTCATCGATATTGTCCGTTTTGGGCCACGCCCGGGTCACCCATCCTAGAACTACTCCAACCTAAGCACGCTTAACTGGGGAGTTCTAATAGGGATTTCACCATATCCTAGAACTACTCCAGCCTAAGCACGCTTAACTGGGGAGTTCTAATAGGGATTTCACCACTTGGGAAAAGGTCTCGATGCTATATAAGGGTCCCAGTTTTTACTTTTATAGCCTAGAAACTCCCCCTCCATTCCCGATGTGAGACACCGGGGCCTTACAATCTACCCCCCATAAGGCTGCACGTCCCCGTGCAGTAGCCTGCCAGCTCGCATGCCTGCCCACATGCACCAAGAGACGCCAGGGGCCCACACTCGGTACTCCGGAGAGTCGGTTCTGATACCATTTGGGTCTCAGTTTTTACTTTTATAGCCCAAGAACTCCCCCTCCATTCCCGATGTGGGACACCGGGGCCTTACAATCCACCCCCCATAAGGCTGCACGTCCCCGTGCAGTAGCCTGCCAGCTCGCAAACCCGCCCACATGCACCAAGAGATGCCAGGGGCCCACACTCGGTACTCCGGAGAGTCGGCTCTGATACCATTTGTAATGCCCAGACCCTTTACACGTCATCGATATTGTCCGCTTTGGGCCACGCCCGCACGGATTTGTTTTTCCTAGTGGGTCACCCATCCTAGAACTACTCCAGCCTAAGCGCGCTTAATTGGGGAGTTCTAATAGGGATTTCACCACTTGGGAAAAGGCCTTGATGCTATATAAAGGTCCCGATTTTTACTTTTATAGCCCAGAAACTCCCCCTCCATTCCCGATGTGGGACACCGGGGCCTTACAAGGTTTGACCACTTTCAATTTGAAACAAAAAAAATCATTTTTTTTTTACCTTTTACGTATCATTTCATAAAAAAATAAAGAAAAAATTACTCATAAATCTCATTTTAGTAAATATATATATATATATATATTTTTGTTATAGGAAAATCCTCTCACTCTCCCACAAGTCCAAGGCAGCGCCCCTTTAGGAGATCACTAGGGTGTCCTGTTGTCCGTTCCGAGTAAGAGACTATAACCTGGAAGCTTGTCTCGACCTCCCAAGGCAAGCTCCGCTTAAGTCAGGATTCGCACAGCGGGGGAGAATTAAACCCACACCAAGTAGCTGAGAAGGCATCCTTGAGATCAACCTCCTAACCAACTGTGCTACGCCCAGGAGATTGGCCTAGAGGGGAGTTGAACCCAAGACCTAGGGGCTTAAACCCCAGGCCCTTACCAGGTTGCCACTCACCCTTGGGTTATAGTCTCTTAAACCATTTTAGTAAATATTACTCTAGTTAGTTCTAAATAATTTTTCTTAAACCATTTAGTCCTTTTTATTTTTGGTGTGATATATGTTTTTGATATATGATGTTTTATGATGTTTTATGATGTTGTTCCTCAATGCAGCCTCCCTATTCTTCTTCGTCTTCAACCCGGCCCGTGCCTCCCTTTTCTTCGTCTGCTACCAGGGGTGGAATGGCCATTGAAGTTCCTGCTCACCACCCGACCCCTTCTCCCCCTCCCCCTCCTCCCTCCTCGTTTTCCTCTCTCAACCTGCCCTCTTTTGGCCAACAATTTGGTGGGTTGCCTCGTAATTCCGTCAATGTTCCTGAATCTCTCTCTCTCTCTCTCTCTCAACTCCGACGTGTTTTGGAAACCCTAACAATGGCGGACCAATCGGTCGCCGTCGATCTCATCCCTCCAAGCCCTAACTCTACCATCATCGTCTCTTTGAACATCGTACGTTGGTGGGTCAGGTTGAAAGAAGGCGAATTTTGCAGCCACACTCGACGTTACATTGCCCATTAACACCGACCCACCAAAGAATAGTGACCAATTGATGGAATCAATGAGGTTGGGATTGATTTCATGAAATTTTCTTTTGGTTTTCTGGGAGAAAATTGGGTAGGAAAAGGTATGAAGTTTTTGATTTTTTTTTTGGGGGGGGTTTGTTTTGTTTGAGATGGGTTTTGGTGTTTGATAATGAATGTGAAGGACAAGTAGCGTTGGGAAAAGGGGGTTTTGTGAGGGAGAGAATAGATCTGATCTAGTCGGTACGAGCTCAAAACAGAAACCTCTGAAACAAGAGTTAAAAGAGAACGATGGGCAAGGTGATGAAGATAATGATGATAACGATGGACAAGGTGTTTTGATGATGTTGATGATGCAGTTAATGTTGAAGATGTAGTTGATGTTGATGATGTTCAAATGTTGACGTTGCTGATGTTTGATGACGTTGATGATGTTGATGATGTAGTTGATGTTGCTGATATTTGATGATGTTGAAGATGTAGTTAATGTTGATGATGTTCACAATGTTTGATGATGTTAATGACGTATGATGATGTTTATGATGTTGATGATGTTTTATGTTGTTGATAATGCTTGATGATGTCGATGATGTTTGAATGATTTTGGTGATGTTGATGATGTTTGATGATGTTGTTGGTATAGTTAATGTTGCTGATGTTCGGAAAGGAGTGTAATCTAAAAAAGGCCTATGGTGAGCTTTTAACATTCAAATAGGATTTATTAGTCTACAAAATAAAAGGCAGGACCAAATAGTTTAACAAATTAAAATTTGAAATTTATTGGTGTTTTGCCCAAAATTAAAAGGCTATTAAAATAATTTATTTCTAAAAAAATAAAATAAACTAAATAAGTTAATAAGACAAAATATCACATCTAAATCATAATCATTTCACTTTTTTTTTTAATTTACAAAAAAGTCAAAAAAATCTTTTCAAACAGAACTAATTTAGCCAAGTTAAATTAGCTAAAAAAGTTATTCTCAATTAACCTTTTAATGTGTTTGTACGGTGCTGGTTGAAATGGACTAGTGTGGGCTCAAGTATAAATAAATTCATAAATTTTGATAAAATTTTTAAGATTATAATATTATATTTATATGTGTGATATTTTGATAAATTAAAAATTATAACACTTAGAGGTTATTTGGAATGATCTAAATAAGTATATTTTTTGAATTTTTACGAAAAAAAAACGTACAGAAAAGTGAAGAGTTGATATAACCCAAATAAATGCATTTATCTAAGTAAGTGCACTTATTTAATTTATACCAGATAATACCTTATTATGTAATTAATTTTTGTTTTTCAATTTTGTCCACTAAGAAATTTTGTTGCAATTGATTTAAAATACAATACAAGTGTTTGGCATGTGCTATTTATTTTAGCACATTATCATAATTAGGTTATAATCATCTTATTTAAGTCACATCACATCTTTATCACATTACCTCAAACTCAACCTATATTTCACGTTTTTTTATTTATATAAAAAGTCAAAAAATATACAAATTTAGCACTTTTCAAACAATCCCAAATAATATCAGTGATGAGGTTATTTAATATTATCCCATTTGACTCAATTACGTAAATATAGAAATGTTGTATTTAGATCATAAATTTAAAAATAAAAATAAAAAAAATAAATATAAATATTGGGATTTTTATTGATAAGTCCAATTTAGAAGTGTTTTAACCCAAGAAGTCCATGAAGGAATTTTTTAACCCATTTAGTCCCATGTATGTATAGTTTTATTCCATAAAGTCCATTTTCTTGATTTACACTATTTTCTTGGACACTTATGCCCTTATATTTAATTTTGATACCCTTATAAATATTTTTTCAACGATTAGCAATTTAATGATGTGAACATTCATATTTTAAAATTTACATTTGTAGGAATGTAAATTGGCCCGTGGGCGGCCCGAAACCCGCCTGCGAGCCAGGGCGGGCCCGGCCCATTGACAATGTGAATTTTCACATTGACATGTTAAAATTCACATTAATAGGAGTGTAAAATTGGCCCCCGTCCCGTGGCGGCGCGAAACCCACCCCCAGCCCATGGGCGGCCCGAGGCGGGGCCCGGTCCGGCCCGTTGACAATGTGAATATTCACATTGACATGTTAACATTCACATTGATAAGAGTATAAAACTAGACAGCAGCCCAGGGCGGGCCCGACTCTGCCCGGCCCGGCCCGTTGACAATGTGAATATTCACATTAACATGTTAACATTCACATTAATAGGAGTGTAAAATTGGCTCCCGTCCCGTGGCGGCGTGAAATCCGCCTGCGGCCCATGGACGGGTCCTGTCCGGCCCGTTGACAATGTGAATATTCACATTGACATGTTAACATTCACATTGATAAGAGTATAAAATTGGCCCGCGACCTGGGGCGGGCCCAGCCCGACCCGTTGACAATGTGAATATTCACATTGACATGTTAACATTCACATTGATAAGAGTGTAAAATTGGCCCGCAGCCCGTGAGCGGCCCGAAGCCCGACCGCAGCCCGAGGCGGGCTTGGCCCGACCCGTGACAATGTGAATATTCACATTGACATGTTAACATTCACATTGATAGGAGCGTAAAATTAGCCCGCGCCCCGTGGCTGCCCGAAACCCGTCCACGGCCCATGGGCAGCCCGGCCCAGCCTGTTGACAATGTGAATATTCACATTGAATGTTAACATTCACATTGATGAAGAGTGTAAAATTGGCCGCAGCCCGTGAGCGGCCCGAAGCCCGACCGCAGCCCGAGGCGGGCTTGGCCCGACTCGTGACAATGTGAATATTCACATTGACATGTTAACATGCACATTGATAGGAGCGTAAAATTAGCCCGCGCCCCGTGGCTGCCCGAAACCCGTCCACGGCCCATGGGCGGCCCGGCACAGCCTGTTGACAATGTGAATATTCACATTGACATGTTAACATTCACATTGATAAGAGTGTACAATTGGCCCGTGACCCGTGGGTAGCCCGAAGCCCGACCTCGGGCCAGGGCGGGCCCGGCCCGTTGGCAATGTGAATATTTACATTGACATGTTAACAT